TACCGGTCCCTTCGCTTGGACATTTCTAATAACTACATTTCACGACGGAATTAGCAATAAAATTGCCAACGAACCGCGCAAATTAACTCATAATTAAGTGAAACTCTGATCTTGAATAATATATCAACTGCAGGATACACGAAGACAATGTGAAACCTTTGACCCTTAGAACTCCACATAGTTTTGTGATATGTCAGCAACCCCTAGCAATTTCGATAGTAGTCCTACTGAAAATTAACAATGTTATAACATTTATTTGACCTTTGATTCCCTTCTCAGTACGAACTTCGTGTATTTGGAAGATCTAATAATTTTAGGGTAGTTTCTTTAAGATTCATTACAATATTTAATATTATAACTGGTGCAATATTGTGCAAATTCTACTTCGTATAAATCTATGAGAAATATAATTTTCTTAAAATTTATTAAAATGTTTAATATTAGAACTGGCGCGATATTGGAGCCTACAGAGTTCAAAGGGTTAATCGTTGAAACTGTATTATAGTTTGCAATATTACGAAGAGCCAAACGGGTCTACGAGAATGATCCTCTTCCGTGTTATTTTCCTGCGAAATTCAATTTTCTATCAGGTATGGATGATGAAATAATTAGATAAATAATACTGGGTGTCGCTCCGTTGAGCGATCGAGTCTATAAGCGCCATCCGTTGGGGTGCGATTCGTCACGCGATGAAGACCGAGCCTCGTAGCCTTCAGCTTCCATAAAGTCAGGGTTTTAAGGATAGGGGACCCGACTGTTCTAGCCGCAAGATATTTTCCTCTTGGGCATTTCTCGGCTAAATGGATTATGAGGAGCTGTCAGCGGGGGACCCGGTAAGAACCTAACCCAGGTCGTCGTGTCACGTTTCCGTCGCGACACGACATCAACGTTTAAAGATCACCGGCGGACGGCGAAACGTAGAAACTGCCGGGGCGGCCGGCCTCTCCCTCGCCCGCCTATAAATCCAAGCCGGTTTTTAGGGCCGTACGCGAGAAACACGTATCATGAATTATTCTTGTGTTCTGGTTCTGCGAATTATTCATAAGAAAACAAATGTTGGTCCGTGCAGCCGGGGCTCCACCCGCGAGTTCGACACCGACTTCGCGGCAGGGAAGGAACTATAAATCTGGCTCGGTGTCGTTTTAATTCGACCGCGGGGTGTATTGCTGCGTTCCCGATTTTTCGAAACGCTATGCTCGAATCCCATTCGCGAAATTTACTTATACGAGAACCGGGGAACTTGGACTTTCAAATGCCGTGTCCACCGATTCTACTTCCGATTCGACAGCGTGTTTTTTCTTACCGCACTTCTGTTCTACGAGAGTGAAGCTTCATATCTTAATCATTTGAACTCGAAAGTTTTGTCGCTACATATGTTTATAATTTTCTTGTGTAATATTGATTAAATTTTTGTTGTTTCGGTAATACACGAATCGACGGATATAACAATTTTCGTTCAATACTTCGTGTCTAAAGGAAGAAGTTTATGGAATCCATTTCTTTGTTTTAACCCTTTGCGGACGGATGTCGGCAATTCGGTGAGATGAAATGTTCAGATGTGGAAGACTAAGTCGTGGAAAAATGATCTAATTAGTCGAACAGTAAGAGATCAGCGCGTAGTTTTCCTTCGTTCTATCAATTAAGCAATTGATGTATAATTTAGCTTCATATGTTGAAGGTTTTCTTTCGAAGAATCTTCGTCCGCAATGGGTTAAAGGAGGACACTAACAACGAACAAATACGAGGCAACTATCAGACCTCATATCTTCGATATTCCTAAATTAATATTTCTGCTATTATTAAACTCACCAAAATCTTCAGTCCGATGTATAAATTGTAAACCCACACTCGCTGTTGGAAATGGATATCAAATACCACACGGTGACATGAATTTTCATAAACACACGTAGTGTTACTGTAATAATACTAATTCATCGTATGGAATAATGATCGTCGGCGCCCATTAAGATGAGCATATGGTGTACTCTGTAAACAATTTAACAGGAACGACGACTGCAACCCGCGGGATGTTTAACCGTTCTCTTGTAAAACTTGTCGGTTTCAGGCAAGTTTAGGATCCCGCGTCTGCGTGCGCAAACATAAGCGTCGAAGGAGCCAGCTCCGGATCGAATGTAAAACGATGTTTAGCAATGCAAATTAGCCCGATGTTGCCTTTGGATATATTTTCTCGTTGTGGATTCGCACATACGCGACTTAGCTGCGAGCTCGCGTGCCCTCTTTCAGCCACGTAGACGGATCCGCAATTTCCACCACGGATTCCACCGTTCCTTTCACGTGTTATTGCTATTAATACAGTTCCAATTCGTTACGAAACGAACCAGTCGGTCCAACTGCCTGAAACGTACTTTTTCGTTGTAACTTATTCTCATCATCATTCTCACGTTGCTTTCGATGTGATTAATACAGCCTCTTAATTAATCAACGGATCATTCTGAAAAATAAAATTCTCTCCATATAACGTACTATTGAATGAAAGTTCATTTTCTCGGTCAATGACGTTAATACATTAACACAAATGAAACTGATACTCAACTCTTTATCTCAAAATCTATCAATCGAAGATCAATATTACCTAATTTTCCTACCTGAAGTTAAATACAGAATAAATCTAGAATTTGTCATTTCCTCAAACTATTCGTACTCGTAAATGATTAAGCACAAATCGATTGTATCGACCATACTGCAAAAAGAGAGCAATCGGTGAATTGCATTTAATATTCCCTTACCGGATATTAACCCATAAAAAGGACACCAACACACACAAATTTGTATGTTTCTAATTACCCGAGGCATCAAACCGGCCATTTCGAGGGACTAACACCGCCGAACCACTTCCGAAGCGTCGAGCTCCAGATGTCCCGATCCATTAAACGTAACAGAAATTCATCGAACACGCGCCATACGCCAGCTGGCAAATCGGGGGTCCATAGGAGCGCGCGTAGCGAAGTTCGATTTCGTATTCCGTCGCAGACTCGAACTTTCATCGCGCCACCCTCGATCTTCCCGCGCGACGTGACGCGTAAACAATGAATCACGATGAATTATGAGAACTATCGAGCAATTTCTACAGGTGTCGATACCCCGCGGTTTCCGCGGGGGCCGAAGATATACGGATCCGGCGCCTCGCACCTGCGGTATCACGCAAAATACACGGCCGGCGAAATTTTATGCGGGAGCCGGGGATGCGTGTATGATAAACAACCCCTGCCGAGGATCCTTTTTTCAAGACCGCGCGCGATCCGACGCGGGATTCCCCTCGTAACCGAAGGCTTATACGTTTCCCGCCCTTATTGAAGTCTATTTCGCGCGTTGAGTGCGCGAAAATTGTATGCCGGCCGTGTTCATGGTTCACGGTAACGAATGGCTCATAAAGTTTCCATAGTATCCCTTTCCTTATCCTTTCCCGTCGTTTCCCTTTTTTTTCGAAAGCTCGTAGTCGATCCCGGAATACGATCCAGAATATTTACCGCCGCTCCCGTGCGTTCCTGCAGACAAATATGACGAAGAACCGGTGTTTGCATGTTTCACGAGATAAAGGGCCCTGTAAACGTCGCCGATTCGCTTGCACTCTATTGTTTCACTTGATATACAAATTTTATGGGACGCCGTGAGCGATATTTCAATACGGCCGGAGCGCACGACCATCGGCTTGCCGCTGATAAAGAATGTTAGTTTGATGATATATGAAACTACTTGCCGTAAACTGCTGAAGTTCGGTATCGCGTAATACTTGGAACTTGGAAAACTCAATTATACCTGCTCGCTGGATTATTGATATTGTGCGGCAGTTTGTCTTGTTGAAATTAGATTCCTTCGGTGCCCGTGGAAACCAGAAGTTGCTTAGAAATTATAATTTATTAAGCAATAATAGGTTATCTATTTAACGGCGTTGCGATTGAAGGTTCTTCGCGTACGAGGATGGTGTGAATATTCAGGTGAATTTGAACTTTGAACATTTTATGATATCTTGAAAGTGATTCCAAAGAAAAAAATATGCTTGCTTAAATTTAACCCTTTGCACTCGGGAGGTGACTCAGTTATCACTTGATTTGACACAGTAAAACTGTAGAATGTGATATTTAATTTTAAAATTTGTATAATGCCTCGAGACGTGAAACATTGGAATAAAACAGCTTCGATCCTCAATGTACTGGTGATTTCTCTTCGAATCAGTCTCAAAGAACATCGTCTTCGCCTCGTAAAGAAACGTTAAATATTTCTAGTAAGGAACATTCGAGTGCAAAGGGTTAACTGTGCAATCGTCGAACTTTCCTCCCGGGAACGGACTGTAAAATCAATTCCATTGTCCAATTGGCCAGGCAAAATGGTGCCGCGAGTAATCACGGAGGAGACGGAGCAAGATGGAAGCAAGTTTTCTTTATCGGTCGGCAGGGAAATCGCATTACTCGGCTGGAACTTCGAGAATCAATTCGATTCGCGGGCGAACGCCGCGGAAATCGAGGTGGTGAAGTCGACCGGCCGTTTTTGTGCCCGCCCGCCACCTCGCGAGGCAGCGCGACGTAGCACACAACAGCTCTGCGATGACTTATAGACTTTGTTTTACTTAACAACAAAGTTTTCCTCAGATAAAGGCAGAGTTGCGAGACAAATGATACGCCAACCGCATGCTACCAGAAATGATAACCCAAGACCTTTTACGCATTCGTTGATCGACCGTGCAGGGATGTTGTTTGGTAGCAAAGAACACAGAATCTAAGATCCAATCATTTTCGCAGTACTCTTCGAAATTCCGCTTCAAACTTTACAAGCGGATTCTTTGAGATAACAGATTTAGATCTTCTTTCAGCTGATTACGACAGGATTCTGAAACGATAATCTTTCACGTGGTTTTTGCGAAGGATAGTAGAATGTTCGGTGTATAGGAAGGTCGTGTGAGTGGCGTTAATTACAACGCAGTCGACTGGAAAGAAAGATATTGCAATTAACTGCTGATTTACATAAATAACAACATGGTTAGATCTGGAGAAATGCATGTATACTAGACGCAACTACTTATTACCGGACTTATTACTGGACTGCGGAAGTTCATGCGCTCACAGCATCATCTGTCCCGTGAAACTCAGCGAAAACGAGCTTTATATAAAGTCCAAAGATAAATGCCTGTTACCGCGAACGGGATAAAACCTCTAGCGCGGGGAATAGAATTTCGTGGAAGTTTCTTTTTCACGAATTAACCTCGGGAATTTTGGGTTTACACAAACATCCGCAGTCTACTTATTACATATTTGAGTACAGTCTTGAAGGGTTACTGCGAATAACAATCTTCCACATTCCTGGCTGGAGATTGTTATCGTACTTCAAAGAAACTTTTTTAATACAAGTTCAAGTGCGCGAGTTAAGAAAATATTTCAAACGCTCCTCCCTCTTTCGCCAGTATAAAATGATGGTCCTTAAAAATTTCCTTTACTCCGAAGGCAGAAAGAACTGCTCGGCTACTCGTGTAGTGTCCTCGAAGTAGCTCTCGCGGCTCCATTTATGAACGAACTATATACACGACCAACGCGCCACGGCTGTTTATAAAAAAAGAAACCGATATCTACACTTCCCCGACGACGTGGAAACTATACCGAAGCGCATTACGCAAATGCACGGCTCTCCGCGATGAATATTATTGCGGAAACTTATTCTACGCTAGCCCCTTAATCGAATACGTCGGACGTTACATCGTTGTCCCGAGAAAATTCCAATTGAATATCGGAAAACACCGCGATACATTCAAGGATAATATTTACATTGTTCGAAGGCACGTAACAGAGCATCCTCGACGATCTCTCGATAAATTGAATTCATCTTACAAGCAAACACCCGACTATCCAACTTTGAAGCATTCGGTTAGCCTACCAGCAAACTCGAATCACCGTAATCGTCTCTTAATAATTAATTAAATACGAATGAAGCAGATGTTCCATTTCACCCAAGTGTCCCTCTTAATCAGACCTCAATTAATTTATATTCCTGCGCCTCTTCATAATGCCTGAAATTCAGTCATCGAATAATGTCGGAGCACAACTGAACAGAGCCGATTCCTTGGGGAATCCAAAATCCCAGAATCCCACTAAACTCATTTGTCTCCTCGTCAACGCGTCTCGAGCGGTCGCGACAAAATCGGGTTACCGGAAAGAAGATGATGTCCAGCTGCCCTAATGCGTCATTTGCGGGTATCAGCTACTTCCTGTTCACAGGCTTCTTCTTGATCGTCCCGGTGTTCGAATTCCCATTACTGGAGTCCGCACTCGAGGACTTTTCAGCGTCCTTCCTTTGCAACGTCGGAATGCTCGACTTACCGTCGCCAGTTATACAGGCGTTCGAGCCTTTGCCGGCCACCGCCTCCACCCTCTGCACGATCTCGACTTTCTCAGCGTACACGGGAGCACCTGGCCTCTCGATTCCGCCAGAAGGATCGTCCATGCGCCTGGAAAATGACGGGATCCTCGTAACCTTTGGTTTTTCCTTTAACGGAGGCTTCTCCCGTTGGTCCAGCAGCCTGTCCTTCTCACTGATCTGTGGACACTGAGCCTCTGGCGACGGAATAGCCGAGACTTTGGGTATGTTTCTCTGGTCCCTGGTCCTCTGCAGACTCGACGTGGGCTTGATGATGATCTTCGGTTGCTTCAGGCTGGAGGAAGAGCCTTTAGGGTCTCTGGGGGTGATTATTATCCTTGGCTCTTTCCTCTCTAGGTTAGCCACCGCTGGAATTCTGGACTCCGGCAGCGAGCTGTTGACGGGCAAGTCTTGCTGAAGTCGTTCAGCCGAGTCGATTTGACACTTCGCTCCAATACTGGTTATCGTCGAGTCGGACACGGTACTAGGAGTCGACTTATCCAATCTATCGCTCGAAGCTCCACCGCCCAGGTTGACAACAGTTTGACTCAGATTCTGATTCGCCTGGCCAAGAAGATTGCCCACTCTTGGCGTGATCACGATCCTCGGCTCCATAGCCGGGGTCCTCGTCTCCCAATTAGACCCGAACTGGATCTGATTAGACGCCTCCTTGCCTATGATCCGCGGCTCCGAAGACGCGGTGGTGATGGAGGTCTCGTTCCCCGAGGTGCACTTGTACCAATTCGGGTTCCCGATGCCAGTCTCGAGGAGGGCGGTCGGGATGCCGATGTTCTTGTCCACGCTCTGAGAAATTGGCTGGCCGATCCCGTGAACGGGACACATGGGGTTCGAGTAGATCGTGTCCACGCTGCCGCCGGCCTGCGTCCTCGAGGACCTGTCCATCCGTTCGTCGAGGGAGTCAATGATGCTGGGGTCGGAATTGTTTTTCGAGCCGTCCTGTCGCCTTAGCAACGGGCCGACGTGGAGATTGGTCGTGACCGGCTCGGTCTCGAACTGGTTCTCGTTCTCCTCGGCGAAGTCCAAGCTCCTCGACGGACCGAACATCCTCGGCGGAGGCTGCGGCGGCTGGTGAGAGGTCGGGGATAAGTGAAGCCCCCCTTTGACGTAGTCCCTCAGCGAATTGGCATGCTGTTTGGGTACGAATAGGCTGCTCGGCGCCGGCAACGATCGCCTCTTCTCGATGTCTGGGAGCACCTTCGGGTAGTTCCTGCGCTTGATCGTCCTCAACGCCTCCTCCGGGCTGATGCACTCTCTCTCCGCTATCGGCTCCCTGCAGGTTACGTTTATGTCGCACGGCGTGATACTAGCGGCGAACGTGGTCAGCTTCGCTCCGGTTTTTATGTAAATCTCCTCCGCCTCGTCCGCGGCGGGCGCTTCCGTATTCACGCCGAGCTCGACGCGAGGCAGCCTGGACTTCATCTTCGGATTGATCTTCGCGTACAAGCTGCTCGCGCTGCCCGAATCCGACTCGTAGATCCTCGTCGTGGAGAAATTCGGCTTGACGTTCCTCAGCACGTTCTCCATCGGCAGCGGGTCGCTCCTCGAGTGATGATGCTCGATCACGACCACCTGAGGAGCCGGCTGAACGTCGAACGGCTCGTCGGGAGCCTCCACGCCTTTCGCCAACTCGATCGGCACCTGGTTGAGGATCGATTCGGTCCTCGTCGCTGGTGTGGCGTCCACGGCCACGGAGACTTTCGGGAGCTTTGACTTCTTGCCAGGTCGGACGACTAATGCGGGACTCTCGTCGTAGATCGGCTCCTCCTTTCTCTCTTTCAGCATCTCCTCTTCCAGCTTCTTCTTCTCCTCCTCCTGCTGTTTGCTGAGCTTGTCCTGGTGCTCCCTCTGTAGAGTTTCTCGCGTTTTGCGTAGGTACCTAGGCGAACACCTTCGCGAACACACAAAGAAATTGAGTTTGATGAACCGGTAATTGTAAGGGCGATCGCTGAATCGCGAGAGGACGATTTCTCGGGACGAAGTCCCCTCGACGGCCTCCGATGGAACAATCGGGCAACGATTTTCTGACGAATCAGCCGAATAGTTGGACCCATTGAATCCTCTATTCGCCGGGGCAGGGGACAAGCGTGTCTTTAAGCTAAACCGCTAATTGGATTAGCACTCCGTCCGACGGCCAAGTTCAGCCGGCGAATTCGCCGGGACCTCGCCACGAATCTGTGCAATTACTAAGGGCGGGCTGGGGGGCAGTTCAAAGCGATCGGGCCGGCCACGCTCACTGGAAACGGAATCTTTACCGACCTGTGCACGATCTCCTGCTGTATCCACTCCCGAACCTTGATGTGGGTGTCGATGGTGGAGCCGGAGTTCTGTCTGGACAGTTTCGAGCGTCTGCCGAAGTTCGAGTTGTTGTCGTATGCCTTGTCGTTCTTTATGACGTCGTTCAGGTCCGGCTTGCTGTCGCTCTTGTAACCCAGCTCGCCGTAGTGGTTATCGTATTTCTCAGACTTGGCACGCTTCGACTCCTCCTTCTGGCTGGCCCGCCGCTTAAGGCCGGCCTCCTTGCTCTTCAGGTCCTGTTTCTTGCAGTATAGGTAGAGGAACGCGGTGAAGTTTATCAGGAGGAAGACCACGCCGAGACCCGTCAGCATCGTGATCACCGAGGAGCTCTTTGGCGTGCTCGGCTGCGACACGGTCTCTTCGTCCGGTCGACTCGACGTGGAATCCGGCGTCGTCGCTTTGTCGCCGGCCTCTGTCGTGGCGGACGGTATTAGATGTAGCTCCTTTGACGGGTACCTAGAACAGCGAGCGTTGTGCACTTCGACAATGTATCAAGCTGTAAGAGTGGATGTGATGGGTCGTTATTCGAATGAAATCTTCTTGAGACGTTGAGAAATGTTGCGGAGGAAAATGAGGATTGCATCTTTACAAAAGAATTTTCTTTTGGGGTTTAATATGTCGTAATGAAAATTATTGCTCGTTATATGATTTTCTAGCCATGAGAATTAATTGCATAATTTTGACAAATTTCTAAACGAGGTGGATAAATATAGAGTAGCTTCACAATCGGATGATAACGTGGTACGAGTGGTTTGTTTCGAATTCAATGGCGCTGTAGACCGAGAATAAAAGGAGTTGCGTGTTTTTTATCGATTACCGGGCTAGACAGGCAACGGAATTCTTGAAAGGGAAACACATTATCACGAGGGGACGCGTAATTGAACCCCTAAATTGCTAATCTGTTAGTTCATTGCACAGACATTTGAATAAATTCCATTCAACTGGTGCGTGCAGACAGTTAAGCATTCGGGGGTGGCCGGCGGGAGTCGGACGCGACGTGGTGCAAGTGACGTTTCATTAAATATTCTGTCCACGGTGTGAAACAATACCGGCGTGCCTGCATAAAGGTACGCGGAAATGAGTCTATTTAATTTTCCAATTAACGCACCCTCGAAGCTTTTTATAAAGCTGGAATTGCATTCGACGCGACGCGACGCAGGAATGTTTTTAGCAACAAAATATTCAAATTAATTGTCCCAGAAATTCGATATTCCCGTTGATCGCATTAACGCAATTGCTGGCGGATCGATATCTTTGTTCGAAATTGCTCTCTCGAATTAACGCGATCGAGACGCCGGAAATAAAATGCAAACACCGATCAGTTCCGAAGCTTTAACGACCGTTTTAGGATGCCAGGGAAATTCCCAGACCGACGCTCTAAATCGGGTCTTCGCTGAAGCGATCCAGAAACCGGCGTTTTTCGAATTCATTACCAACCTAGTGCCGTAGGTTTCGTAGTTCCTGTTGTTACTAGCGTTCGCGTACCTTCCGATCCCGTCCGCTTTGTCGAGAATCGACGGTCGCGGCCTTTTCGGTAACAACGGCGACAGTGTATCTTTGTTCGGATGACGCAGCAGGTTCGGCAGGTGCTCGTTCCAAAACAGCATCTCCGTCGCGCGGTACCGCGAGCCAATCGTTGGTGGAATTGCTGCGACAGTCAGAAAAGTAACAGGTATTTCAAACTTTTCTTCAGTTTAGCGTCATTCGGTCATCGTTAGGTAACAATTATTTCTATGATAATAATTACAAGTACGTATACTCATTTCAGTATTTTTGGTACGTTCGTTTACAGAAATCTAAATCGAAAAGGTTATCGTCAAAGCTGGGTCGGTAATAAAAATTCTTCTTTATGATAAGACAATTTTTCGTTTCAAACTGTTGAAGAAAATGCAACGTCACGTGAACTTACTCAGATTCAAATAGGTCTGGTTGTGGGGATCGTATTCTGGCCACTCGATCTCGTACTGCCCCCATTCCTTCAATCCGTCCGTCAGGTATGGGTACCGTTTCGCGATATTCGGGTTCCTGGATTGTGAAGAATAAACGATTGCTGTGATTTTATTGGCAATGAGAGATGACGACCGCGATGAAAATCTCTACTGTCAATTAGTAGTAAATATAAACATACATACGTTATGACTTTATGTAGAAACAATATTTCTATTCGAGGCAGTCGATTATTTTGAAACATTCTGTCAAATAAATTTCACCCACTTCCCCCTAGAATTACCGAGCAGCGAGTTGACTTTTTTCAATATTTCTATAGAAACTCTAATTGTCAGAGCACATCAATTAAAATTTCGATTGACTTTATACTCCACTTTGCGCATTATTAACCCTTTGCACTCGAGAGATCACTCTCAGTCACCACTTGATTTGATTTGCAAAATTGTAAAGTCTTATATATAACATTAAGCTTTGCATGATGCATCAATATGTGGAATAATAAAATAAAATAACTTTCCTCAATTTATATATATTTTCTCGTTAATTAGTTTCAAAGAACATCGTCTCTACCTCATCGGAGAAAATTGAATATTTCTAGTGAAGAACTTTCGAGTGCCAAGGGTTAAATCAATATCTTAATTCCCCGGAGAAGTATCTGCAACCTTTTCAACAATACGAAAGTACGTAGTTTCGGCGTTAAAAACGTTTCTTCTCGCAGTTGCGAAAAGCCTGCTTCCTAAATCGCGACTCTGTATCATAAATCGAAACGTTTCAAAAGATCTAGGCGTACACGAGCTCGCAGATGTACACGCACAGGAACGAATCTATACCAGTCCGCTTCACAGTCGGCGAGCCTTTCAAAGGAAGCGAAAGATCACGAGACTGACGATCAGCATTCCCGGCGTCATCGAAGAGACGGGAAGCATTCGAGTCGCGGATACAAACTGTTCGCGATTCATCCGTCTAGCCGGCTGGATGAACCCGCGATTTCCGGTTGCATCGGATGCATATGCATCTGCGACGGGGCGGCCGTGTCCCGAAGAACTGGGTCGATCCAATTAAGCGAAACAAAGCTGTTTAATGCACGCGGACCGAAGGCGAGCGCAGGTCGTGCTCCGCACGGTCCGTGACACGGCCTGATCGATATCGGCGCGTGTCACTGTGTCCTCCTCGTAAGAATACGTCCCTGCGGCGGGAGGCGGGAGGAGCGCGATGCGCCCGGTGCATAAGCAGAGGGCGTGGTGCATCGCTCTGCATCCGGAAACGACGCAGGACCATTAACAGAGACGACTTTCAAACGCCACCCCCGCCTGCCCCTTTTTACCCGGGTTCAGACGCATACGTTTGTATCGTGATCGATGCGACTTCGACCTCGTGCAAGCGGAAATCATTTTGATGACAGTCATTCGAAGGGGAGAACCTTCGCCGCTGATTCTGATCGATTTAAAACTTTTGTACTCGAGAGGCACCACTTGATTTGATACGGTAGGATTATAGAGTTCGATGTTTAACGTTAAACTCTGTGTAATGGATTTGTATGATTCGTACTTTGTGGGTGAATTGAATTGGGGAATTTTGAATATCTCTAGGGAAACAGTTTCGAGGGCGTTAAACGGGATGTAGAGGTTTGTTGTTCTTGGATGATGATATTTGGATGGGTTCAATAGTTTTTTGATGATAACGAACTGAATATTGAATAAGCAAATGAAATAAATTGAAATGAACGTGAGAAGTGTAAATAATAAACACCGCAGCTATTATGCAATGTAGCGTAACGACAAACAAAAGGAATTTCCGTTCATTTATTCAAATGCCCGTTAAATCGAGTACAAAAAGCAGGAATTTTATTAACCGCCGTTCGAATCTGCGCACAAACACTGCTCAACGCTCCCACATTTATTCGGATCACACGAAATTTACCCTCTGCTAATTGAAAATCACACAGATTTCAGCGAACGTCGAACCGTAACGTTCGGCGCGTGAAAACGAGTCATATTCGGGAGCGTGGGTGAACGGACAAGGACGATCGGGAGCGTGTGTGACGGGAATCAGGTGCGCGATGGTTCTCCGCCTTCCTCGGGTCGGGAATCGGTGGATTTTACGAGCGGCGAGAACTGCGCCGGAACGCGTTTCACCGAAGAATCGTGGCGTTCCGCGCCGGAAAATCGCCTTACCTTTGAGATACTTGTTTCACGCGTGCGAGCGAGAAGGACGGAGTCGGACACCGACGAGCGAAGAAAGGATAGGGCGCGCGAGTATATACCTAGAGCCAGTAAGGCGCGAGTTTCGCGTAACCGTAGCGGGGTGGAGTTACCCTTCATCAAAATTTCGATATTGGGCCGGTTTTCCGATATTTGAGCGCCGGCGGAATGATATTGCTCTCTGTTCTCCGCGGAGAGTTACCGTTAGAAACGCTCTCGCGAGGGTTCGCCGCGGCGGGCGCACACCGTAGGATCTCGATTACGGTACCCCGTTCCCGGATTCGATTTCCTCGGAACGGCGGACCGTGGCGAGTAAATGGGGCCTCGGCTAATAAAAAAATTTATTTATTCGTTTCATTCGCGACACCGGGCCGCGCCGTTTCACCGAGCCGCGATAGCGAGGCGGAGACGGCCGGGATTGCGGGTAGCGATACCGAACTTCTGAATTCTAATCATCGTTCCCGCCTCGAAGTCGAAACGGAGCCGATTGCCTCGGAATTCCGGCCACCGATCTCTACCGACGGAGGAGTATATACAAGGACGAGGATTGGTCGCACGGGGTTCCCGGGGAATCGATGAAAAGCGAGGACAAAGGAACGGGGAAAGGTGGCGCTCGATGAGCAAGTTGCCTCGCTAACAATGCTTTTACGGAGTCAATGTTATTTATGAGGACACCGTGCACCTTCCAGCTCTCTAATTCGGGTTTAATCGATATCTCGGTTCACCGGTTGCCCGACCGTCTACCGAACGCCGATGTCGGCAATACTCGGAACGATTGAGTTCTTGATGGCTGGGAGCTGTGCGGCGTACTATGATTAACGCGTTGCCAGAACCTGGTGTTTCATCGGTTGTCCCTTCGTAGCGTAGATTAATCGATGCGAAGTGTATTAAATATTTCGCGATTTTGGTATCGCGCTATGATCTAATTTCGCTATTGAATATTTTCGTTCGATATTAATCATTCTAGAAGTTGCATTCATCGCCACCGCGACGATTGATGTATTAAATGATCAACGTCAAGGTGCAACGGTAACACATTGGTTTCCGAGGGAAATGCATCTCGATGGATATCTCACGCGCGAAAGGCAGGTACTCCAGTCCGCATCGATGAAACGGATGAAATTGTCTTTAATTGAATACAATTAATGTTTCGAAACGCGACTGTGGGATCTACGCGGTCCAGTTGCATCCTACAAAGTGTATAGTTTAATTAAACCACGGGTCGACGGTTCGAGTGGTTCGGTTACGCTAATTAAAATGATGAAAAGCCACACCGGGAATTAAATTCCATCGAGAATTTCCGTCCGATTTCACCCGCGCGTAACATTTAAATCGTCGCCCGCCCCGTGTCGCCGGCAAAGACACGGATCACCTTTTAATCACTTTTAATTCGAGCACGTCGAGGCGAATAACAGCGGCGCCGCGATACGGGAAGTCAAGTTAAAGTTCAATCGAACAATGCCGCGGTGTTGTGTAAAGGGGAAAAGAGTGTTCCCGGCGAAATGGACCCGGTCGTACGCGCAATTACCAGCGGAGTTTACTTTCGAAAATTATCTCCTAACGCGCGGTCCATTCGCCGGTTGAAATACGAGGGAAATTTCGTGCTTTCGAAGATAAAACAGCCGAATCGATTGGCCGAGCTCGCCGCCGCCCTCTTTCCAATCTATCCAGATGAAATGTGAGAGTGATTCGTGTATATATAGGTAATCTGCTTGTATCGGGAAAATTAAAATGGCCGATGTATCGGCCCGTTAATTCACCAATACCCTGTATCAGAATAACAAGCGTCAAATTGCTAGCTGCCGGACTCGATGCCGAAACATGACCGGCCGCGCGGAGCGCCGACATCAAAAGCCCCGCAGTCGAAAGTTACTTCCGCCGATGGCCACTCGTCGAGGACGTGTCCGCCTTTGTGACAGAATTTTTTTAATTCTTTAATTTCCCTCTAGAAAATTACGCCGCTCGGAGATCGACCGTAATATTCCGGCGATAGGTAATCGAATTATACATTACGGCTGATTATGCATAATATAAAAATTTTCGTGGAACGAGTATGAAATGGAAACTGCTGCGCGCCGATTCGCGAGAATAGAGGTATTACAGTGAAATAGACGTTCGCGGATTTTTCGAATAAAGCAACCGAGGCGTGCGGGTAATTGTTAGCGAGATGGTATAAATGATTTAATCTCGCGTCGAGAAGAATATAACGAGGAATAATCGAAACTGTACCCATTAAACGGCGCCGTTAAAACGTAAGGGATATTCAAGCCGTTCCGCGTAGAAAGGTAATTTCACGTGTAGCAATATAGTGCATGATACTTTGCACCTCGGTCCCCTTACTTTCCGGCTTTTTGATGATCCGACCGATTCAACGGAGCTTCGCGTCTCGTTAAATTCCCATTAAAACTCCGTTGTTCCGCGCCCCGAACAGTTTAACGTCTTGCCGGTAATTTTCTCCGATTCTCCTATCGCCCGGGCCCCGGCTGAACGTCAATTTCCCCGGCGTTGTTGCCGCCCGCCGTTCCCGCCCCGCGGAAATACGAGGAAACAAAACATAAATATTCAAAGGTGCGGATAATTGAAAATCATGTTTGAAAGCGTCTATTTCCCGCGCGAGGGAGCCGGCCAGCGGCGGCGGGACGGGCGGCTCGGTTTATAATGAATTTTCAGACCGGCGAATATTTCCCGGCGGGGCTCGGAACACCGCGAAATTGTTTCTCCGCTGGCACCGGTTGTCACGTGTACGACCCATTGTTCCGGAATTTCTATAAAACACCGCTGGATTTATTGTAAAACTGTAAACGGGCTCGGCGGGGACCGCGGCGGCGGCGGCGACTCGGATGGTTCGCGAAATGTTTTTCCGGCGTCGAACGCCGCCTCGTCTCGACCGTTCGAAATTTATTATTTAATAAGTGAAACAAGCTCGATTCCGGCGGACCCGATCCGTTTCCGCGCGCAGCTCGTGCAAACAATGCCCCCGGAGTCGTGAGTAATGTCGAACGCGTCGCCGACGATTCGAAAGCACTCGAAACTAGAGCTTCTAGCGCCATCACGCGCGGAGAGCGACACTAGTGGCTCTGAACGATGTTTTGCCGTTTCCCCGCTGGATTCCACGCACGCTGTGCTCGTTTTAAGATTTCTTTTCTCCTTTAATTAACCGGTACGCGCGTGCCGTCGAACGTGTTCCATCGCTCGTCGAACCGTCGGCCGCGAGACGGAATAAAATGACGGATACACGTTTCGCGTAAGCGCGATCGAGACGCGCTCGATCGACCGGAAGTTCGCGATTCGTTCTTAACGAAATTATGTTGCATAAGTTTCCCGTGGCCCTGGATATCCTTAAGAACTACCGGCGATGCTCTTAGTTCTCGGTCCCGATAAATTAGCGCAATTACTCGCAGCTTCTCAGGCTTATTGACTTAACAAACTTATCTCCGTTCCCATCGCTTCTCAGAGGGATTCGAAACTTCCGGCGGCACGCCGAGGCGAAACCGTGAAGCCACGATCGCGGTGGAATCGGCTGTGCAATATTTCTCCGCGTACAGCCTGCGTCCCGCGGACCTCGTAAACGATCGCGCATTTTTCACCGGCGTATAATCAAAATCCACATTAGCGGTTCTAATAGCGATAAACCACACGCGCCTCGGACGCCTAGCGATAATTAAAACGTAAGCTAAACGGAGCGACGCGAGCTTTGCGTTCAATTAGTTTCGATATTTACGATGCGTGCGTGCGTGCGTGCGGCTCGATAAATTATATTAAACACGATCGAACGCCGGGGATAACCGATTAACGTTCCGGCCGTTCGTTCCCGAGGAACCTCTATATTCCCGGCCGTCGAAAGAAGCCGCGGGTAACGGTGTCACCGACGATCTCGACGAATTAACGGGAACTTGAAACTTTCCTCGGCCGGCGTGTTACGGAATTATTTAATTAGGAAGCTGCATGTACTTTTACCCGAGAACTCTTGTTACGCGGCTGATGACCTTAAAAGCTAACGAGCTAATGTCGCGGGAGCAGCTCGCGGCGGAAAGGAGGGACTCACCCGACGTACGCGAAGCTGCACCACCAGTTCATCATGGCCTCCGAAAACAGCGTCTCGCCGATGTTGTATCGGCGTCGCAGCTCGTATTTATTCCCGTCGAGAGGCACGCCGAGCACGTAGGGCAGCTCTTCGCCGTGCACGGTGCGCTGGCGTTGTTGCTGCAAAGATAACGAGGCCACTCGATATATACTTTCCAGCCGCATCCGTCGCCATCATCGGGTGACAAAGTTTCGCGCGGTTGGCTCGCCGAAATTTCGCGGTCCGGAAGAAGAGCGGAGCCCGCGCTCCTCTCGTCTTCGAACGCAACCGGCTCGGTGTTATTAACTTCCGCCGCTACCTGGCCCGCTCGGCCCTTCAGCTCGACGGAATTTATCGAGAGCGCAACCGAGCCCGGGACAATTGATACGCTCGACGGATACGTATCCGCCGTGTGCCATTCAAACGATTAATTGCTTCTATAATTGAAATATTATACTCGTACCGGTACCCGGGGACTGACCCTGTTCATCCGCGATAGGCTTCATTTGATTGGAGATTCGAACGAAGAGCCTGGAATTATTTACTCCATCCATCCGGAATATTTCATTTCTAGTTTAATGAAGAATAGACGCGCTTTTCCGGAGAAAGCGCGCGAAGCCATGCTCCAGCGATGGATTATTTTCTATCTGCGCGTGGGCGAACGGATATGGAATAACGATCGTAGCGGCAATTTTTGTTATCGATTGCGTACTATCGTAGTGCAAAGTATGAACACCGTGGGTGTTTAACAATAGGTTCACGGGCATTTATCGTACACTTCATTCTATTATTCCTGAAAGAATTGATGCTCGTTTATTTACATTGTGGAAACTGGAGATTTGACAGTAGGTAATTGGGGTACATGTCAATGTGATCAATCAAAATCGGCAACATTTACAAAATAATATTTCTAAAATCCAATATGCGTCAATTTGCGTTCCGTAAACCTAGTGTTAAAAGTTCCGCGTTCCATAACTAGGCTATCGATGCGAACGATCATTCTAAGATTCAGAGTTACAAAGAGAACTAACGTTACATAAGATAAATCAAGAAAACAATATATAACATACTGAAACTGAAAATTGTCAATCAAACTTCCATTTATCTCCACTTTTGTACACATCAATCAAACTAATACTCGACTAGCCTCAAAACCGAAGTGTTCCACAAGAAAAATTACATTCCCCGCTTCACTCGTAATTTTCCATACATCATCGCTCATCCTCAGATATCTCTACCTAAAACCTTCACCCTGTAACAAAGGCTCCCCAGTTAATCGGCCGGAAGAAGTCCAGCAGCTTGTCGCTAGTTTCGTCGCCGTTCCCGGGAGCCAACGGCAAGACCGTCCGGGGACGCCGGGCGGACGAGACCGCGTAGCGGTCGCGAGTCAACACCGTCTACGGCCGGGTCGTCCGTAAACTCGGCGTCCAATGGTAGCGACAGCCCTTTAACCTCGGGTTGAAAACCAGAAACGTTGTTACATTCGGTTTAACGACACCGCCGGTCACTGTACCCGGAGCGTAACAAGCCGGCACGCAGCGGCGATAAAAATAGTTGGCCGGGCTCCA